CCATCTCCACCCTCTTCCCTTTTTTTTACACGTAACAGAACCAAAGACAAGCTGACCCACTTATCCCCAAACATTATTTTCCTTTTAGTTTTAGGCGCTGTCAGCAAATTGACCTCGGCTAGGGGGCAGAAGATATTCGGAGACGTCTCCGGCGAGCACCCAGGAACTATTCGGAGACGTACTCCCGCACACAGATGCACTGCTTTGAGGGATCAAACTGCGTATTGTTTGCTGCAGATCACACACACATATATACAGCCACTAAACCAGAAGCAAATCAATTTTTTACCCTAGAAATTTCAAACCTAACTACAGAATATCAAATTATGGGTTAAAACAAGAGGGGAGGGTTCTTGATCCAGAAACACACAGCAGTGTGATTGGTCTATCTCCGTCGGAGACGTCTCTGGATAGATACTGTGTCGGCGAGGTGAGTGAGTGGAGGAGATCTGACACAACAGTAGGACACCCTCCCACCCACCTCCCCTACTCCCCTCTCCTCCTCCTCCCCCCTCCCCCCCTCTGGACCAACTCGCTCGTGTGTCTTGAGACGTCTTGTCAGTTTCTCTACAACATTAAATAATAAGCATTTATATAGCACACATCCACGTTCTACAGCAAGCTCTATGCTCTTCACAACCATTGTTACCCCAGCAGACCTTGGAACACTCAGAAACATTCTCGGCTTCCCGGGAAGCATACAGTGCAAGCTGTGGAGTGCAAGCGCTCAAACACGAACAAACTGACACGATCTTTAGCTGTCTATGGCTGTATTCCCATTCTCACCTGGATGAAGTGTGCAAAATTCGTGTAAAGCGCCTTTCCCAAGGACACAAGGTCGGGTCCCAGACTGGTCCAAGACGGAATTCGACCCCATAACCTTACGGTTGTGAATGTGAGAGCCTAACCACTAGGCCACCGACAACGCTCACGGCCTCACGTGATCTCATGCGTGAGTTGGGGAAACTCGTCTGTCTCTGTGTCACCACTCACCACACAGCATGCATAAGGTGCCAACTACGGACGAGATCGGATCGCCAGACTCGATCGCCTCGAAAAAGGTTCGAAATTTTAATGTAGGATAAAGTGCAGTTCTTGGGATTTTGTGGCCAAGTGTTGACGCTAGCATTAATATCTAATAGTAAAGCACCTAACAATACTCACTTTTTCCTGATTTAGATGATCTGTGAAGAACTTCAGTCGAAAATAAACACGAAGCGAGGCTGCATGCGACACATGTCCGCCATGTTTTACAACACTGTTGAATAGCACGTCTGACGCGTCTCGCAGCTCTGCTGAGAACAGACAGACCGTTCAGCGACGCTGCTCAAGCACACGATATTGTATACGTTCATTTGCACGGTGCCAGCTTGGAGAGCTACAGATCAGACCTGAAGAGCCACTCTGGGACCGGCCTAACTCTAAACTCTCTGGTGTCACCAAGATTTGAACCTCCCACTCTCTGTGTCCCC